AGTTTTTTTTGCATAATTTAGTTCATATTTAAAGATGAAGTTATCCATGTAACAGGCCGTGGAGGCCCATATTGTTGTGAGGCGTCGAGGCAGCCACATTTTCTAGATAGTCGGCTCACAGATGGCGGTAAAGTTGCCAACCTTACGCGATGGTTGCCCTTTACCCCCAGGAAGATTCTTAGTACTCATTTCTGTTAGTGGCTGAATCGACCCCAGGGCCATAGCGCGGCTGGAAGGATTAAGTAAATTGAAAAATTTCAGTGAACTCATCGGGAATCGAACCCGAGACCTTCAGACTTGTAGCATAGTGCCTCAACCAACTACGCTACGGCGTTCCTCGAATTTTATATTATACCAATTTAAAATACTGTAACGTATTTGCTCAAAGCGTTTCTAGGCAACGGCTCAGTAAACACGTTCAACGTGCAGCAATGGAAAACTTGTCTCAGTGGACGAATATTATTGCTCGTTTCTAGGCAACAGTCAGCGAACCAATGAAATTGCTGGCTAGGAATCGCGTGACTTGTTTTCCGTTTGGTCCGTGTGGAGCCTGTATAACGATCTGCAATAGCTCAGTAACTTTCGTCACCCGTGTGGAGGCGGGGTCAACTACCTCCACCGTGACCCTGCGAGTCGTAGGAGGCAACGAAAAAGGAAGTATCGAATCTGAGACAGTAAAATATGGTCGCGAGTCCCTAGGGACTCGGACCCGCGAAAGACTGCGCTGACAAGGACAAGCAGCATGTACAGAGGACAGACCCGTCCCCTCGTCAGAGGGGGCGCCCCAGAAGAATAAGACCGTAACTATTAAACAGTAATAAATATCTGGTCACGAGCCCCAGGAAGGTGCTTGACACCAAGACTTACTGACTGACTGGCCGTCAGTCGCAATGTGACTTTGACTTTGACTTGAGTAACTTTCATATAAAGAAAACAAAAAAACAAGAAAAAAAAACAAAATTGGTCATGAGCCCCAGCCGGGGCTCGACACCAAGACAGACACACTGACCGACCGTCAGTCCCAATGTGACTTGGGCTTTGACTTTGAGATTAGAGTAGTGCAGAGTGCACAATGTAAACTGCAGAGTGAAGTGCATTGTAGTTAAGAGTTGGTTGCAAGAGTGCGGCTCTGAAGAGAAGACTTCATGTGTAATACTCGTATTTAGAGTGTGTAATTCTGCGGGACTATTATAATCCCTGTGTTGAGATCCGTTACCAGGAGACGACTAGTGAAGATAGACAATACTCTTGCGTGTGCAATGGTGAACTGTAAATTGTGTAGATCAGCGATAGCGCTGTATTAATTGTAATTGAGACGGAATGTACCTGAAGTACTAATAAATGCAATCATCAGAACTAGAGATCTTTATTTTCGTCACGCGTACCACCCTACATGTGACAATATTTGAAGCTTCTAAGATACATGATGTAAAATTCACGGCTTGAGAACATCTGTCAGTTTCGAAAGACAGAACGGAACTGGAGACCTCGAGCGAGGTTGGCTCGGACCACAGTTTCGGTCGTGTTAAATTAGACTCGATATGAACAGAGTTTTGATATTTTCATGAATACTTCCCCGAGCCTTGTTGAGGCACTGATTAACACTCAAGTTTACCAATAGTAAAAAAGCTGTTCAATATTTTAATATAATAGCGCTCTTCAACTCTCACTCTTTTATTTTCTCTCAAGTTTTACTGTTTTCTTACAAACCTTCGCGATCTTCATTTTTTTTGGCTGACAATTCTCCTTTCAACAATTGCAACCACCAGACAGTGATCGGTATTGCATAAGATTTCAATTATGTTTTAATGTAATCTTACATCTATCAACACTTGAATAATCTGGATATGTGTCAATAGGTCACAAGGCGTCTAAGAATATTTATGAATGTTCCTATGTGGAAGGATTATGCGTTTGAAGGTTAGATATTTGGAAATGGCAATTTTTTTTTGCCCTAACCAGATTATCACTGTTAGTTTAATATAAACTCTCGTATCCAGTTACACGTCTGAAAATTTCCCTTCTTCCTCCTCTTTCACTAAAACATCCGGAAACGATATGATACACCTGCTAGTCCCTCATAAAAGCTGTCCTTCGTAACATGTGCATTGAGAACAGTGATATCCCACCAGTATATCAGAATATTAGCATTAGCATTCCATAGTCAAGCAATTATGCGTCTTAACTCCCGATTAGATATTTTACGCATGAAGATGCCTGCTCCTAACTAACGACTATTATACTTTTTTCAAAACAAAAATTTGTAACCATTTGTTCATTCAGAGCCACCTATCTGCTGTATGACCTCTTTTTTTTTTATTTCTAGTGGGTTGGGACTAAGTCACTTGTACTGCGGCCACTTCTGGCCTATTGTACCAGCCCAAGATGATAGGTGAGGGTCATTGTGGAGCAATTGGTGGAATAAAGATTGCCAGGGGAAACCTACCCCAGAGCCACTTTGTCCACTACAAATCCCACTTGACCAGAACCGGGATCGAACCCGGGCCGCCGCGGTGGGAAGCCAGCGACTAACCGCTTGAGCTATGGTGCGGCCTGTATGACCTCTTACACTCTCACTAAATTAATTTAAACTTGCAACTGAAGCTGGTGTATAGTAACTTCTGACGTTCCAAACATTAACATTTTTGTTAAAGCCAGTGAAAAATACAAAAGAGCTAGGAACTTTTGGAATATAATCGTACCCGTAATAAGAGACTGGAGAACGTAGTCATTATAGCGACTGGCAACGGGATGGACGACCGAGGGGTCGGAGTTCAAGTCCCGATAAATTCAAGAATTTTCTCTTCTCCACGTCCTTCAGACCGGCTCTGGAGTCCACACAACCGCCTATCCAAAGAGTACTGGGGGTTCTTTCCCCGGGGTCAAGCGGCAGGGGCGTGAAACTGACCACTCATCTCCAGCTAGTGCCGAGGTCAAGAAAATGTGGATCTATACATCCACTCGCCCATGTGTCTTCATGGTCTAGTGCTTAATTAGTTAAGCACAGGGATAACTTTACATTTTTACCTGTAATTACTGCAATAGATGCAACAATGGACATTGTCACTGATTCTGTACTTCTGATTGCTTTTGATCCATAGCATAATATTATTCGTGGGTTAGTATTAGTAGTATTTATTCCGCTTCTACACAGCTAGCAAGAAGTTTAGGGCTGCAGTCTGATAGGTATTCGGCAGAAACTTTGTTTGAATCCAGTCAGAGTACAATCAAAGGCAGCACAACTCACCAGTTGACACATCGTCATAAAATATGTAATCTGACAAGCGGAGAGAGGAACATCACTTAGAGCTCTGGTCTTAACGTTGTTAAGTGGCATGAGCATTTGGTGACACCCAACAATTACATGATCAAGCGGGCTAATGTAGCGGTAACGATCAGGATCTGTACAAGGCGAGACTCTCTTATTGTAAGCTGTAATGAAGTTTCGTACAATTTGCCTTAGCCATTCGGATTAATTTCACTGTTGTATCCTTATAAATTCTTCCTTACTGTCCCCACCCGGTCATTTCCCGCCTCAGTGGACCTATACGTCCCAACTAAGTGAGAAGGAATCTCCAAAGCAGTGGTTGAGCCCAGAGACCGGTAAAACCTCAGTGAGATTCTCGTAGACCGATACCCAACAGTCCTACACTGTACATAACAAATACAATTCTACAAGTCTAATTACTGAACAAGAAACTGTGGGAAGATCTAATCGCCTGCTTTCCTTTGATAGGACACGAACTGCACAGAAAGCGACGAGCCCAAATTTCTTCTATTGCGTGTGTATTCGTTGCCGCGGTAACGTTTTGCCGAGTCATAGCGTAGTCGGTATAGCGACTGACTGCGGGCTGGACGACGGGTGTCGGAGTTCGAGTCCTTTTAGTGTCAAGAAAATTCTCTCCTCCAAGTCGTCCAGACCGGCTCCTGGGTCCACCCAATCTCTTATCCAATGGGTACCTGGGGCTCTTTCCACGGGCTTAAAGCAGCCAGGGCGTGAAGCTGATGACTCATCTCCAGCTAGCTCCGAGGTCAAGAAAATGTCCATCTATACGTCCACTCCCCCATACGACTTCATGGCGTGTTGCTTATTTCGTTAAGCACAGGGACACGTTTACCGAGCCATTGCCTAGCATCGAGACGGGGATACACATGTAGACACACTGACGGGAGGGAGGTATGACGTACGCTTCTGAAATGGGCTCAACTGTCATGATATAGTTGTACATGCCAAGTTTCGTGAAGATTGGTGCAGGCATTTCAAGGTTGATGAGAGGGGACACACTGACAGCGCGGTGTTCTCGTAAGCCTATTTTAATTTTTTCAAAATAAAAAAGGTAGACTAAAAAGTACAGCTGTACCTACTCTTAATTAAACTGCATGCGACGAAGACATGTGGGCGTTTACAGATTAGCTCCAATTGTTCGTACAATTGGTGCTAGGTGCAAATAAGTTGTCAGCTGTACCACGAGGCGAGATCTATCCGTAGCTATCTGCCAAGAGAATTTACCTGGACACTGCGGATGAGAGATTTCTGCTTTTACTGTGAATCGAATCCAGCCCGTAGCATAGTCACTGTACTGACTGAGCTATCCTAGCTGTTCTGCACTTATTAATAACATGTTTGAATGTCTATACACCTAAGTTACTATAGTCAGTATAAATTAACGCCTTATTGCGAACAGATGACACAGGCGTCCACGGAGAAATTTCGCAATCAGTATTAAGGCATGAAGTTTTCAAGATGTCAGGAAATTCAGTCAGTTTGTCAAGAAAATAAATGTAAAGACTTGACTAAAGTAAGTAGTTACATTCAACAGAACTAGGTCTATTACTGTCTAAAATGAAATAAGAAACGGAAAGAAATACATGAACACTATTCTTTCAAATATAGACAGGGCTATTTATAAAAGATAAAGCTACCGTTAGTTTGCGTTAGTCTGTGGGTGTGAAAAATTGGTTAAAAATGCAAACTAATTAGTGTCCGAGACTTTACTTACGGCATGGCAGAGCACGTGTCGTGTGGTGACTTCGTGTCACGGGGGCTACCATGAGACTGCTACACAACGGAAGACAAGCGAACGGTAGCAGTAGATAAGCAGTGCTCGGAATTCATTGCGAGCCGTCCCCTACATTCCTATATGGGCATGTTAAGTAGTATACTAGTTCGAAGCGAGATATCTTTTTGGTTCATTTTTTTGCGCTCTCAGTGTCGAGGTTGTATATCCTAGAATACAAGGGTGATTAGTGAATGAAGAATTACAAAGAATTTAGGAGGTCGAGGCGTAATCAAGTTACAATCACAGGATTTGCGTGGAATTACAGACGGAAACCACGTACCTACTCTGTCAGGATAGCGATTGTTCCTGTTGAGATTCCAAGTTAGCATTTCTGGAATAGAAGCCTGGAGCATTATCGCTGGGTGAGACTGATTTTTGAGAGAGAGAATGTGTAACTGGGAAGATGCTGCATAAAAGTGATGATCTAAACTCGATTTCAGTGTTTTAGGGCAGCATACAACGGAGGGTGTCATATAATTTGTTGCTCCTTAACGACGTTTGTTGATCAGCTAAACGCTATGAAGAGCGAAGTTCATATACCAGATTTACCCCTCAGAAAACACACTGCACCTCAGTTAACAAAACTCATCAGTTGATAACACTTAGGGAAATAAACGCTGTTTATGTTGAAAATAATACGAAACCCGTTTAATGCCATCTGTGAATGAAACACAGAGTTTCTGAATGTTCTATAGATAATGTAGCGTGTAGAGTCGTTACTATGCAATGACCGCGAGAGAAGCAAATGTACTAGAGATCATTCTAGGCAACGTCTCGGTAAACACGTTCCCGCAGCAAAAGACAAGATCGCAACAGTGGTACAGCAACAGAGGAACGGTGTTTTCTGTGGTCCGCGCAACGGCTGCGTAAATACATCTCTGCGGCAACCAATCCATACACAACGGTACAAGAGCTCTGATCTCTATGTGGCCCGTGCTGGGATATTAAAACCGCGAGATTTAGAGCTTAGTCAGTTGGTAAACAGTGCAAAATATCTTGGTGTAATCTTCGATAAGAGGTTTACATGGAGATTGCACATAGAAATGATCGAAATCAAGGCCTTCAGAACATTCATTAGAGTGCATTTTCTATTCAAATTGAGCGATTAAGCTCTAACATTAAACTGACCCTCCACCAGGGGCGTAGGATACATGGATGTAGTGGAAGCATTGCTTCCCTATAGAACAGCAACCAAAAACATTTCTGGCAATTTTTCAATTTTGAAAAAAAAATGTTTCATACTTCAAAATATTAATTAATCTGAGAACATATATTACATATAATGAGAATATTGCAAGTTTAAATGTGTTACATAAACCATTTATCAGGATAGATCAGTTATTTTCTTCCAAAATGCAGGGAACTTTAAAATAAAACGCGCAAAGAAGCAACAGGTTGTTCGCTTCCACGTTCGTTCTAGTTCAACTGGGACTGCAATGTTTCCATATATGAGGAGTCTGTTGCTAAGCTAAACGTTACGGAATGCTTCCAGCTTCATGCTTCCAGCTTCATGCTTCCAGCAATGTTGCAGGCTGTAAGGCATTGCAGTATGCAGTTGGAAGTCGGTGACCCTACAGTTACACAATTTTTCCTGGTGTCCTGAGACTTCGAAAATGCTGTTAGTAAGAAAGCGTGCTTACTAGTTTTCAGAAGAAGGTGTTAGCGTGTTACTTATGCACAAGTCAGTTTAGTTATTATTCTGTATTTTTCTCGATACAGAATTTGTTTTGCTTTGCGTAATTATAACTTTGTGACAATGTTTTTGTGATTGCTGTTAAGTTACAAATGGAAACATGACACTTTCATATGATAACCACTGTGTGATTGAAAAACTTCTTCAAACACCGTTCAGTTCACTCAGTTATACTGAGAAACTTAAGATAATAGGAGAAGGTACGCCTAAGCCTAATCTAACTTTACATACAAAAATGAAATCTTGAACACGTCATTTCAATACCAGTTTATATGAGGCTGTTCCATGGTTGTGTGGGTGTGATAAACTAATACAATTATTCTGTTGACCCTGTCTCTTGTTTTCTAAAGAAAAACACGTGTTTAACAGTGAAGGTTACAATGACATTAACAACATTTACAAATCTGGCAAAAGACATGGGCATTCAGATAATCACATTGCTTGTCTTAAAGAAATTACACTGTTTGGTAAAAACAGAAGGATTGAATTTTCTCTAAGCAGCCAATACAAACAGTCAATTAAAAAAACACAATGAAGCTGTGAAACAGAACAGGAAATTTGTAGGCCAATTTATTACAGCAGTTTGTTTTTTGGGCTGTCAGGGTTTAGCATTTCGGGGACATGATGAAAGCGTAGCATCTGTTAATAGAGGAAATTACATTGAGGTTTTAAATATGCTGGCTGTAATGGCGCAAGAGTTATGTACAAGTAGATATAGTTTTTTGGGGGGTAAATTTGGAATAATAGTATCTAGACTGTAAGATTAAGAAACAGAAATGATGAAACATACCAGGAAGCTTGGGTTTGCGAAGAAGTGTAACAGGCAATACCTGAGTAATCAGAATGTTAGCGCGACAGCGTAATAACGCTGACATTGAGGAAGAAGCTATATGAAGTAGGTCATAAACACTATGGCAGGAGGAAAACGCTGAGTCGGAGAAGACGGTAGACCCGAAAGAGTCAACCCCTTCTCGATAGACAGCCAATGAGTGGGCCACACCGACCCAAAATCACGTCAGAATGGGCGGGCCAATATACCCCGGAACACAAAGAATCAGTAAAAAGAGGGTACATAAACCCTAGAGGAATCAATCAAAAAACTTTTTGACTTTTGACTTTTTAATATTATTAAGTGTCATAGAGTTCAGCCGGAGGCTATCGCTGAGAGAGCGATGGCAATGAGTGGGCGTTGGTTGGTGATGGCGATCGTCTGTTTCCTTAGCTCAAGTAAGTGATCCAACTTCATATAGCCGTGAACAATAAGTGTGATAATTTTAAAGTGTAAACCCCAGAGAAAGATAGTGCTAACTAGATGGACTATGTTCATTAAGAGATACAGAGGCGTAGAATACCCGACAGCAGGGGGACAGGAGATAGGACCAATGAGGTGCTGCAGGGTCATCATCAAATATAATACGAGCCGACGAACGTCGGCAAAGTGTGTATATAGTATGTATATAGCGACAAAGGGAAATAGAATAGGATGTGTGATTTTAATTCAACATAGCATTTCCTTAAGTGTTACCCTCTTCCCTGACGACTCCAGGACCTCCCAAAGCTTCGGCGAATTGCGAGTTAAGCCAGGACCAGTGACGTAAGCAATGATAAGTTACTAGAGTTATTGACATACAAGATGGTGGCACCATACTAAACCGGGTGACAAGCGGGATACCTCCACGCCCCCAGTCACCACGGCATAACAGTGGTGTAGCGACGGCATAACAGTGGAGACAGCGGCGAGATTACCAATCCACCCCTGTCGTAAGGACGTAATGGCATAACAGTGGTGGCAACGGTGGGGATACCTCCACGCTCCCTGCCACCACGCCATAACAGTGGCGGCAGCGCAGGATTCGAACACACACACCCAGGAAGAGACAGGTGGTAGGTCAAGTACTAAGTAAGGTTAGATAAAAGGGAACCACAAAATGGAGGCAAGAATAGCACAGTTAGAACAACAGTTGAAAGGCTTAACAATAGGAGTGAAAACAAAGGATTTATCACTGGCAACAAGTATTAGGGACTGCAATGGGCAGTCGCAAGCGAAATCAATAACGGAATTTTTAGCTCAGGTAGAACAGTGTGCCCGTGTGAGTAATTGGAGTGAGGAAGACGTGGTAAACATCATAAAGGCCAAGTTAACAGGTGAAGCTGGGCAATTCGTTAGCGGTAGAGACCAGTTAACCAACGTGAACGTGAGATATGAAGTGTTGAAAACGGCACTAGTGGACCGTTTTACTGAGAAATTACCAGTTCGGTACCACTATAATCTACTACACGAAGCCACGCAAGGGAAGGAAGAGTCGCACATCCAGTTCTTAGACAGGCGTCGCGCACTGAGCACGAAGACTGTGAGGAAGAGCGAAGACTCGACAGTGCGGCGCATATTAAAAGAGGAAGCAGAATTTAGGCTCCTCACTAGTTTCATCTATGGAATGAGAGGAGAGGCCGGAAGGGAGTTACGGATTCGAAATCCGGAAACTCTGGACCAGGCGCTAAACATAGCGACCGTGGTATACAATGCGAAGCAGATGGAACCGCACCGCAAGGATCACGATACACTGACCGTGAAGACGGAAAGGAAGAGATTCACGAGTCCGAAGGGATACAGATCACCATGGAATCAGAGAAGCCAGCCGCAAGGATCGCCGGTACGATGATCCAAGGAACGAGGAGATACGAACAGAGATTGGGTTCGACCCCCAGTCAAGTGTTTTTCGTTTGATTTCCTTATGGAACAGCTGAAGCTTTCAGAATCGGTTGTTGCAATGTTCTATACCGTTTTACTCTATGGTTTCCCACGAACTGGTTTTCTTTATTTGTATATGTTTATCCACCTCTCGTGTTTCCGCGTCTGGCTTCTTTGCGTGTTAGTTTTCTACAGTCTCCTCTTTCAAGGACCTTATTCCCATCCCCCATGAATTTCGGAGAGAAGTGGAAATCTGAAGGTAACAGCAATTAGCATAGTCGTTAGTTGACTGGATCGACTGGGTGACAGCCTACCGAGGGAGAGCTGTACTAAGTTAATAGCGGCAGATTGGGAACTGGGATCCCAGCGGCCATATTTCAAGTGGTGGCCGTGGTAACATTGCGCTGGCTATGTTAAACAGTTTCCTTTTACATATCCAGAAGCTGTCCTGGTAACCTTTCAATTTAATACTCAACTGGTTACATTTCCACCCTGTCTGTAAAAAAAAAAAATCCAATATCTCTCTCATCTCTAGAATTTGAAGAAAATATTTCCTTCCAGTAGGAAATTATCCTGTTCTTAGACTGAGGGAGATATTAACAATAATCCCATCTTTGCTACGTGCTGACTGCTGGCCATGAAATTATGAAGTCTGTCTCCAGATGCGGTCTGTCGCAGTGTGGCTACTTAGGAGTCCGATATCTGTCCCTTGTTCTTACGCTTATAAATGGATTCGAATATGCACTCAGGTCACAGTGACTTGAGCACTTCCCTAGCGACCGATGAGATGTCTTGCTCTGAAGCTTTGGTCCCAGTACTCTGGCTTTATCCGCCGTTTCAGAATATCAGTGACAGAAATCTGTCCCACATCTGAAGCTGTTTGTGACATTTCAGTAGGAGTAATGATACATTAGTATGGAAAGACATTAAGAGATGGAAGTATCTCTAATTAGGAACAAGTATAATGAGGTTTAGAGATTCTGCATACATTGATATTTCTATAAAATAATATTTTATTAAACTGGACGCCATTACCAAGTATGTTTCTATATGCCAGAAAATGTACGATCTTTGTAATATTTACTTCCTTTTAATTTATGCAGGCCGTTTTCAACATACCCAAAAACAACTGCTTCAAACTTCTTGTATCATATTTTGAGCATACAGATTTTTTT